TTCAGCTTTACAAGTAGTCCCTCTGCATTGCACTCAGTTTGATGCTCCGGGATTGTGGGTCAGCAAGCCCAGACCATGATCTACCAATCACCTGGCCAAGATCTACTGATAGATCACGATCTACTGGTTGCTGACCCCCAGGTCACAGTATCAGATTTTTATGTTCATTTCCTTTTGCATGATTCATCTTTCTTCTTGTGTGGTCACTAAAGTAGGAAATTATGGAAAGTCTTCTCAGAAGAGACACAGACCACCAGAAAAACGCAAAAGTTCTAATCTTTCCTTACTTTATCCTGCACTTAAAGGGAACCTATTCCCAGATCATACACACTAAAGTATTTACATACTGTATCCTGAACAAGCAAAGCAAATTCGGAATGCTTTTGTTTCTTTGATTTGCATTCTAGTTGCTTTGACCTGCTTTTACTTGTGTCTAGAATGTTTAATTAGTTTCCTTAGACAACTTTTAAAGTTGCTTTTGCCTGCTGCAGAGCTGTTTCTGAGATGGTTTAAGCTTCAATTTTCACCTGTATGAGGAAGCTAAAGCTGGCTATACACTTAACAGTTTTTCAAACAAAAACTCAAAAGAAATTTCATTCATAAATTCATGTGGAAATTCTCAGTACATTTGATGGACTGATGAATGCCCTAAAAAGGTAGTTCAAATTTTTCATTTGTTTTAAACATTCAATTTGGAACACATTGACTTTACTGAGGAAAAACCGCATACACTGTTAGAAATTAATTTGTTCAAGACTAATTTTCTATCTTGCTCTTTCAAATTTTCTCAGCGGTTGAATACAAACATCGATTTGATTCCACTAATGATTAGAAAATTAAACAAACGTCCTAACAATAAAAAAAAACTTCAAATTTCTACAAGTACATAGCTAGCTTAAGAAACGACCATGTACACATGCCCTGAGCTAGAAAATAAGTAATTTACAAAGACTTGGCCTTTAAAACCTTAGTGCCCATTCATACCATGTGCAGAGTTCTGCATTATCCAAAATGAATGGGCTGCAATGCACCTCAAGGTATGAAAAAATAGGTGCTGTTTTGTATTTTATAGTTGCACAGCACAAAATAACAGAATATTTTGCATTGTGGTGCACGTTTTGGCAGCATGCATTCTATGTTGAAGGTGCCATTTACAAAAAATGTCACTACAGCACACCAACACGTGCTTGTTACCACAAAAACCTGGTGTGAATGGCCCACAAAGGTGAACTCCATGAAGATATAAAGCATACAAATTACTGAAGCTCTGTATTCAATAAAGCACAACTAAAGTCTGCAATACTTATGTGGGAGCCATACTGCCTCACCAAGGCACCTCTGTAAAGTGCAGTCTTAACCCTACAATTTGTTCAAGGTGGAGCATATATAGCAGTGGACAATTTAGGGCAGGGATGCCTGGTGGGAGCCTATTCTTCCTTAAGGGCCAATTCACACACTGTGTGGTGACCAGCATTTTGCTGCAGTGTAAAATGCCGGTCACCGCTAGGAAACACAGTAAATACTTGTTTTCTGTGCGTCCTGTTCACTCCGCAATGCAGCTGCAGACATGCTGCATTTTATTGCAGTGTGCTGTACAGAATCACGTCACTGTACAGCAGTAAAGAGTTGCTAATTTGTTTTGGAGCACTGGTCTTTGGGCTGGCCACAGCCCCCCAAGTGTTCACAAAGCTCTTGTCCCTGGTGCTGGGCTTGTTGAGGACTCTGGGGAGAGGGTGTTAGTCTCAGGATATCTCAATGATCCTTTGCTCAGGGAGCAGTTGGTTCTACGTTTAAAGAATATAAGAAGCAAAAGGTATCCTTTTATAGATCTCTGCATGAGGAAATGGTATCTATGTTGAAGCAGTTTCCTACGGTTTTAGTGGAACATTCTGTCTGTCTGGATAATGAAGGTCCAAGCATTGGATTGCCAGAGGGCTTTGTTCCCGGAGATTATTGCAGAATCCGAAGCGGTGGTTGTTTGTTCGGCATCTGGAGATGGAGTCCTTTTCCTTCCAGTGATATAGAAGATAGTTACCACCAATGTCAGTCTGTCCGGTTGGGGGGCTGGTTTAAAGGTGGCTACAGTTCAGGGTACTTGGTCTCCACAGGAGGGAATGCTGCCCATCAATATCTTGGGACTTCGGGCAGTACGCCTTGCTCTGGATAATTGGCTTCCAGGTTCTACAACAGATTATATAGGTTGTGTCCAGGATGAGAGCCCCACTGGCAATAGGGGTATATGCACTGATAACACCTTATATATATTGCTGCGTCTTTTGTGCAGGATTCGGGAGGAGATAACACTGATAATGTTGGTAGCCCAGCCTAGGCCAGGAGGACTTCGTACACCAACATAGTGTATCTGGCAGGGGATGCTCCTTGGAAACTTCTGATCCACCCAGACCTATTGTCTTGGATCCAATAATGTATCCTGCTTCACGATCACTAGGATTGAAGGCTTGGCTATTGAAACCCAGGTCTGGAAGGATCACTGTTGCACGCCAGGAAGCTGGCGTCAGGGAGCTTCCATTACAGGACCTGGAAATCTTAAATGCCTGGTGTGACGCCAGGAAGATGCACCTGTGGAAATATGTGATTGGGTCAGATTTCGGCTCTATCCAATTTTTCCCAGAGACCATTGTTTCTTACGCCTTGATTCATACTTTGCACAGTGTGTAACACAGACAGATCCATCTGCCAGGCCACCTTTGTGTCCTTGGGACTTCAACTTGTTCTTGGCTGTTCTTGCAGAAGCCACCTTTTCATCCAATTCAAGAAACTTAATTCTTTGACTCGGAAGGTCACTGTCTGGAATCACAAACTGGATGTCTCTGGGAGACAGCCTCTATCCACCCATCCCTGTGAAGCCGTTGCCAGTCCACCTAGCATGCAGGACCTACTACGCATGCACCCGGTCCAGCCAACGCCGCACATGGAGATAGATGACAACCACCGGCAGAACCGGGCGCATACGCAATAGATACTACACGCTGTGTGAATTGGCTGCGGCTTCACAGGGATGGGTGGATAGACGCTATCTCCCAGAAACATCAGGTTTGTGATTCCGGACAGTGATGGTGGCATCAAGGAGATGCAGTTGACAACATCCTTATGTGCCCATACATTTTTTGGTTCATGTGAGTACATTGGAGAAAGTTTTTAACATTTTATCTTCAATAAACGGTGTTACGCTAACTTTGTAACTATGTAACACTAGGGCGGGTGGCGCTCTCTCTCCCTGTTTATTGTTAGTCTAATCCTGCCACCTGGTGGATGTGTTGAGATCAGCAGCAATTTGTGTTTCACAAATAAAGCTTCAGCAGAATTTTACACACTAGCCACACTGTGATTCTTTGGTTATATGGGGGAGGACGTCCTGTTTGATTGGTCGGCCAGTGTCCATTCACCTATAGGTGACATATAACCCACATAGCCATGAATAACCTGCTCTGTGTCCCATGATGTACTCCAAGAAATGGATTTTACAGGTAACTATGTAGAAAATACCAGTTATTGCTTGCATTCCAAAGAGCACCATGAGAAGTCAGGAAAGACATAGCATGTCTGTTCTTTAAGTTTTTTTTTTCTTTTTTTTAATTTGGACTGTAGTCCGTCTTTAGTACATCCTTAAATGTATTTTTCAATTTAAGCAGTAAGTCATTAAGTACCTACATCTGACTTGGTATGAAGCTCTTGCATTTTCTTTTACAGTAGGGCTCAGACTCGGAGGAAGAGAAGTGTTACAAGGAGCCATTCAGTTATTTCTGGTGTGCTTATATGCTAGCAGAGAGTAGAATGACAGGTAGAAGGGACCATCAGTTTGCTGCTTTATACAACTTTCAATGTATTTATTTTTATAAAGTGCAGTTAAAGCGGTTGTGAAGGCTGAAGGTTTTTTACCTTTCTGCATGAAGGCAAAAAACCTTCTGTGTGCAGCAGCTCCCCCAGCCCCTCTCAGTAATTACCTGAGCCTCATCGCAATCCAGTGATGTGAATGACAGCCTTGGCTGTCCCGGGTCTCTGCCTCCTCATTGGCTGAGACAGCAAGTGGGAGCCATTGGCTCCTGCTGCTGACAGTCACAGCTAGTCAGCCAATGAGAAGAGAGAGGGGCAGGGCCAAGCCACAGCTCCATATGTGAATGGACACACGGAGCAGCAGGTGCCCCCATAGCAAGCTGCTTGCTGTGGAGGCACCCGACTGACAGAAGGAGCCAGGAGAGCCTTCGGGGGACCCGAGAAGAGGAGAATCCAGGCTGCTCTGTGCAAAACCACTGCACACAGCAGGTAAGTATAACATGTTTGTTATTTTACAAAAAAAAAAATTAACCTTTTAGTTAGAATCGCTTTAATATACTCTTTATAAGAAAATATTATGAAATTATTATGTATGTATGGGGAAACAAAATGCAACCTAAGGCATAGTTCACACTAATGCGTTTTTTGGTGCTTTTTGCAGAAATGCACTACAGTCCATTTATGGTTTTCTATGAGACACATTCACATTTATGATTTTTTGAGCAGCTGCATTTTTGGAAAGGGTCAGGGACTTTTTAAAGTGCAAAAAGCAGCATTTTTGCCACAATAGAGTGCAATGGAGACGCTGCTGAAATGCATGTAGTGCATTTTTGCCGTATTTTGCATTTTGTGTATTTATTCTGCCCAGCAACAAAAACATTTCCCCTTTAACAAAAAAAAGCTGCCTCCCACCACCTTGCAAAATACACTTGGTGTAAAAATGCAAAGCAAAATGCAAAAAGCATTGCAAAAACAAGTCAAAAGCAAACTGCATTGGTGTGAACCAGGCCTAAGAGGCAATGGTGGACAATCAACCAGTGGACTACTTTCTGAGGATTTTGTGCTCAGCTTTTTCATGAGAATCATTTAGGATGTCAGTCCCCTCGTGCATACTTTGGTAAATTATTTATTTTTTAGGGAGAACATGTTTATTTATTGTTTGATATACTGCAATAATCCTTCTGACAAATCCTATTCTCTCTTAGGGCTATAATTATCCGAAATGGAGAAATAATTCCAATGTCTTCCGAGTTCACTCCCGAAACAGAGCGCCAAAGGCTGCAGTACCTGGTAAGTTAGAGCAGATGTTCTTTAAGGTGGAAAGAGAGCTTCTGCCTGGATAAGAAGTACCATTTTTGGTCTTGCTATGTTTTGTTCTGTATGTGTAAGGGTGGACACACTGGTAGAGGAACACGGCTTTGCTTTCTCATATCAGAGTCGCAACTCCCTATGGACAGATGGTCTGATAACTGGTTGGAGAATATTCACAAAGCAGCAGGAGTGGGTCACTAAGCACAGAATGAGAGATGCATGCAGTGCAGATTCCTCTCCAACAAGTAGCACACTACTGACAACACCAAATCTGGTGAGACCGCCAATGAAAGGCAGCAGTGCCTTAGATGATCTCACACTGCAGATATACAGCTTTGCAGCAGTTGGCACAGAAGTGCCTTGGCACCCCCACATCCCAGTAAGCGCACTTCTATATTTCATGAGAAATACAAGAATTTTTTTTAGGGTTGAATAGGCACAATTATTATTTATATATGTTCCCTATAATACCTCATATCTTTATTTTTTGCATTTGGGTCCACTTTAAAACCTATAACATATGCAGGAAGAGAAATACAAGGAGAAAAAAAGTTAAAAGACTCAAACTGAGCTTTAAGTATGAGGTACTAGAGTAGTGAGTGACCTATATCTCTTGAACATTTCAGCAACCAAGAAACCACTGATCTTCACTGTTAGCTGCTGGTCCGCAGCGGATGGAGGATGTAGAGAGTACGAGATGGGTTGGAATATGTGATCTCTTCATCAGTACCACTTGATAGGGTTATGTTATCTTATTAACTTATTCCAACCTTAGTTCCTCTTTGTAGCCAGAAATAGACTTAAAATAATAATTGAAGAAAATGAAACCTAAAGAAGCCAAAACATCTTCCTAATTAAAATTACGTTTACCTGGGTCTTTGGAAGGTCAGACAGCTCCACTGACAAGGATTATAGAATAGTGACACATTGAGATTAATATTTATAGCAATCGGATCACTGTTATATTTTTTTATTTTTTTATTTTTTTAAAAAATTGAACATTTCCTGTTGTAATGTAATAGCATGCATCACTTTTGTCAATAAGGATTGGTTATAGACTCTTAATACTGAAGACTTTTCCAAAGGTAAAAGTAAAGGTCTTTAGCACTAAACATTCTATTTAGTGTGACATCTGCAAGATGTCAAAAAAACTTTAACGTTACCAACAAAGCTAGGGTCTAACTAAGCTGCGAATCCGCAATGATAATGAAAAGCTGCTATGCTATATGAAGAATGAATAAATCATACAATATAACACACACTAGATATTGCGTAGGATGTGCGTCATTTAGGTGACATGTCAGAGATTTCCAATGGTGTTTAAATGTTCCTGCTACCAGCATATTTCATTTTCTTGTAGTTGTGATTTTCTGCAACTTTGTCATTTCCTGTACTATGTCCGCAGTCTCTGGTCACCTCCTGTACTGTGTCAGCAGTCTCTGGTCATCTTCTGTACTGTATCTGCAGTCTCTCTGGTCATCTCCTGTACTATGTCCGCAGTCTCTGGTCATCTCCTGTACTATGTCTGCAGTCTCTGGTCATCTCCCGTACTGTGTCCACAGTCTCTGGTCATCTCATGTACTATGTCCGCAGTCTCTGGTCATCTCCCGTACTGTGTCTGCAGTCTCTGGTCATCTCATGTACTATGTCCGCAGTCTCTGGTCATCTCATGTACTATGTCCGCAGTCTCTGGTCATCTCCTGTACTATGTCTGCAGTCTCTGGTCATCCCTGTACTATGTCCAAAGTCTCTGGTCATCTCATGTACTATGTCCGCAGTCTCTGGTCATCTCCTGTACTATGTCCGCAGTCTCTGGTCATCTCCTGTACTGTGTCCGCAGTCTCTGGTCATCTCCTGTACTGTGTCCGCAGTCTCTGGTCATCTCCTGTACTGTGTCTGCAGTCTCTGGTCATCTCCTGTACTATGTCCGCAGTCTCTGGTCATCTCCTGTACTGTGTCTGCAGTCCATTGGTTCAGGATATTTTTTTCCTGTTTTCCTCCTCTAAAATCTAGGTGCGTCTAATGGTCAGGTGTGTCTTATGGAGCGAAAAATACGGTAATCTGTGATATATTGTGATATGTAAGGAATGTATCTGTTTGGATTTGTAAAGTTATTGAAAGGTCCACAGTGTGGAATTCACATCAGTTTCTGTGCAATTTCCGCACCGCATCATAATCGCACCCTGTTCATGCAAACGGCTGCGAGTGTGTATTTTACGTTAACATCACCCTGAAATCAGTTTGCAAAATGCGGTGCGATGTGCACAATCTGATTGCGTGGGTATGAACACCCAATGTGATCCAATTCTGGAGTGGACCAAAAAAGGGTCCTACACTATTTCAGTACAGATGTGGTGCGATTTGAGCCATACAAAATGTATTGCTCAAATTGCACTGCACAGAAATCGCATGTGATTTGTGAGGGTACCTTTTCCAGAACTCTTTCTGACAATGCTAGTTGCCTGGCAGTTATGCTGACATACTGATTTCAGTGCTTTCAGTCAATGTCTGGTCTTGTAATGTATGACGTCCTTATCTGCATACTTGTTCTGGGTTAGTGACTTGGAGTACTGAAGTAAGTGACAGCCAAGTACCTAGTATTTACAAAATGAGAAGTCAGCAAGGATGGCTTTCTTGTTTCTTGCAGGAAAGACTCCCTTTAATGATGAAAGAGATGCTTCTGATCACTTCTGGTTTTCCTCAATCAGATAAATGTTATAGGAAGGAAGATGGAACAGACTTCTCCAGGTTTAACAAAACTGCTTCAAAAGCACTGCATATTTTCAAGAACTTATACAGATGAATCCAAGAATTGAAAGCCTGTATGTTATACTAAAAACTGGCTGTAAACCAGCAAATGCAGCTGCTTAACCAAAGCATCTGGGGGCCTGATTTTTTTCAGATTTGTCTATACATGCTATTGGCCAAATTTGTGGAATCCAGGTGTTTAGTGCCAAGCCAGCGACTGGATCCTGCAGACAGCAATAGAAACAGTACAGCAGCCTCCTACACACACACACATGTGGTCACTGTACTAGCATTATTTTCATCTAGAAGACTCAGGGTTTGGTTTAATAAATCTCAATAAATTAAAGCATAACTTCAATTAAAAAACAAAAGAAGGAAGAAAATTGTGAAGAGGCAGGTTTATTTTAATGCTGAGCAGACATATAGCATCTCTTCTGCATGAAAGTTTCTTACCTGCCCATCCGCACTGTACACTAAGCAGCTCAGTCTACAATTGTGGCATCTGTCGAGCTGAAAGAACTCCTGTGCATACACCGGAAAGAAGCCATTTAGGCCCAGTCAGTCAGAACCTGAAAGAAGAACAGACAGAGATGTCAACAGTTGTTTAGGAAGCTCCAGGACACAGCAGCCCTGGAATGGGGGTGAGTATAGGTCCACTTTAAGTGGTTTCATCTGAAACATTTCTCATGTTGGACCACTTGTTGATTCCTATTTTTTTTTTCTCATACAAATGTCTGCAAAAATTTCTGACATCATAGAACTTCATGCTATCTAATGTTCACGGAATATGGGCTTAAAGGTCAACTTTGGTGTAGTTTTCCTTTAATTCCCTCCACCCCAAGTGTATCCCACACCAGTAACATAGTTACCTTCAGCCCTGACCCAGATTTGTTCACACTGTGGCCCTGTGCTACATGGTCTTCGCAAAGAAGACCTCCAGCCATTTTTCTTTATACCAGGTAACTCTGACCCTTTCATTCATATGCAATGGCCATATTCATAGCAGCCTCCAGTGTTCTTACAGAGTAAGGCTGCTCCATAGAAATAAATAAGACCGTGGTGTGCATGCACAGTCTGAGAATATGTATGTCACTTGGTGGGCTATACTTGTGGGGGGGCCGGGTGCCTTGAGCCCTAATACCTGCGTCGATAGATACAGACAGTGGGGCATGCCCTCCCCCCACTCCCTCGTCACAGAGTTAGATCTGCCCAATGAGGAGGGACAGAGCCTGGAGAGGCGTTGCTCTTATGCACAGCACTGGATCGCGATGGGGCTCAGATAAGTATAACGGGGGTGTAAATTAAGGTAAAAACCCCTAAAGCGGAGCTCCACCCAAAAGGGGAAGTTACTTGTTAAGGCTTTGTCCCCTGCTCCCCGTTAAGGATTGGCACCTTTGGGCATCGGGGGGTACCCGAAATTGATAGGTGCCCGCTCCCACTTTTCCACTTTCACTGCAATTGCCTAGGCCAGGGGATGTCAAACTGGCAGCCTCTGCCTTTGGGGTCATGCTGGTAACTGTCAGCCTTGCAGTGCTTCATGGGACTTGTAATTTGGCAACAGCTGGAGGGCCGACAGTTTGACACCCCTGGCCTAGGCAATCGGGAGCGGAAGTTGTTCTCTCCCCCTCCCTCCCCTTAGTCTTTTGGGACATGTGACAGGTCCCAGAAGACTACTGGACCATTCACAAAGCACAGCGGGCATCCGGCTGTGAAGCCACAAGCTGTCACAGCCAGGTGCCCACACTGAAGATGCCGAGGAGACAGGACGGACGGTCGGCCAACCTGGCTGGTGTGAGGACACCACAGGATTAAGGGACAGGTGAATGTCAGTTTTTGTAGCTGCTGATTTTTTTTTTTTTTTAATTCTGACTGGACCTCTGCTTTTAGGCTTTACAACCACTTTAAGGCAGGATGACCAGGTTTTATTTACATATACTTTAAAAAAAAAAAATGCTTTCTACGCATTACATTTTGTAATGGGATTTGAAGTTCTCTTAATCATAACCAGGCTGAACATCAGCATGAGTGATTACAGTGGGGATCGAAAGTTTGGGCACCCCAGCTAATAAATTGTATTAATGTGCATAAAAAAGCCAAGGAAAGATGGAAAAATCTCCAAAAGGCATCAAATTACAGACATTCTTATAATATGTCAACAAAAGTTAGATTTTATTTCCATTATTTACGCTTTCAAAATAACAGAAAACAAAAAAATGGTGTCTGCAAAAGTT